TGGCTATGAAGGTGTGTTACATTGAAATCTTTGCATTAATTTCCATCTACTAGGTACGATTTGGGCTGAAATTTTCATAGGCTGGCTATGAAAGAGTGATGCTACAGTCGTAAATGTTTGCATGCATTAATTTCAACTCTTATTAATAACTGTTTTATTTCTTTCCATCTACGGAGGTGGCCTGAAACTTCAAAGGCTGACGATGAAGCAGTGATGCTTGAATTGTGAAATCTTGCATCTATTAATTTCAACTCTTCTTATTAATAACTGCCTTGTTTCTTTCCATCTACGGTGGTAGGCTGAAACTTCATAGGCTGACGATGAAGGAGTGATGCTAGAGCTGTAACATCTGGCATGCATTAATTTCAACTCTTCTTATTGATAAGTGCATTATTTCATTGCATCTACGGTGGTGGGCTGAAACTTGATAGGCTGGCTATGAAGGTGTGTTACTAGAGCTTTGAAATCTTGCATGCATTAATTACAACTCTTCTTATTTATAAGTGCTTTGTTTCTTTCTAGGTACGACGGTGGGCTGAAATTTTCATAGATAGGTTATAATGTGATAATAGAGTTGTGAAATTTTGCATGCGTTAATATCAACTCTTGTTATTAATAACTGCATTGTTTCCTTCCAGGTAAACTGACGTCTAAATATTTAAAGATGTGTAGTGACTTCTCTTGAAAACGGACAAAAGCTGTTATCAGTTAACTGCCGAAAAAGGCTTTAGCTCCCATAGACAATCATTCTAATTCTTTAGCTCCACGTTTATCAAAAATGGGCAGCTGAATTTAGGAGGGAAAGAGTCTGGAATATGACCAAAGATCTGGACGTTCTGCGACTGCCATCCCCGAGGAAAACATTGATCATATTCACCACACGGTAATGGATGACAGGCGATTGACTATAAATCAAATAACTAATGCTGTTGGTATATCTCGTGAGAGAGATGAGAATATTCTGCACAATAAACTTGGCATGATGAAGGTTACTGCTCGGTGTGCCACGTCTTCTGACACATAACCTGGCTGATCACATCACGAGAAAATCTGATCTTGTTTCAGGCAGATCCAAATGGTTTTCTTGAACGTTTCCCAAAACAGGATGAGGGTTGGGTTCATCACTTTGAACCAAAGACAAAACGACAATCCCTGTTCTGGAAACACCGCTACTCACCTGCTACTAAGAAGGTCAGGGTTGTTTCATCTGCAGGGCAGATAATGGCCTGATTTTTTTGGATGCAAAAGGCATTGTGTTAATTGACTCACTTCAAATGTGACACACCGTCAATGGTGAGTACTATGCCAACTTTCTGAGACTGTTACGAAAGGCTATCAAAATTAGGATAACCAGTGAAAAGGGTCTTGTTTTATGAGGACAATGCTCCTGTACAAAACCCCTTGGTTTTAATGGCTGCTGCGCGTGGTTGTGGCTTGTAACTGGTTAATTATCACCCATATAATCCGGATTTTGCCAAGTCTGATTATCATTGGTTTCCCAACACGAAAAAAAAAAAAAAGCTTGCCTGTGAATCAGTATCACATTGATGATGACGTTATAAATGACTTTTTTAACACACAGGATATAGGCCGATTCTCCAATAGAATTCAATCACTGTAACAGCAATGGAAGAAGTATGTGAACTGCATCGTAAGAGTGCTGCCTTCACATTTTTTATAAAGAATTTTATAATCTTCCCTGACATTATTAAGTGGTACGGCTTTATTTGTAGCTGTTGTTGTAAGTCCTCAAGTGATGGGCAACAGTAAAGCGTTTAATATCTAAATCAGGTACAGTACTTTGTGTTTAATATCTACATTTTCTTGTAGATTTCTTTGTTTGCGATTCTGTAAGGCTATTTCACATGGTTCGAATAAGGATGGGCTTAACTTAGATTATGAAGGAATGATGCTAGAACTGTGAAATGTCTGGCAAGACTTCTACACTTAAGTCCGATTCAGGTATTTAATATAACCTGTTTTTCGTCTTATCTGTGGTTAGTTTATTTAATGCTAAGCAAAATCAAATAAAATAAGTTGAACATCATCTACGACGGTAGGCTGAAAGGTTCCTAGGCGAATTATGAAGGAATGATGCTAGAGCTATGAAATCTTGCATGAAGTAATTTCAACTCTTTCTATTGATAACTGCTGGGTTTCTTTCCAGGTACGACGGTGGTATGAAAATTTCATATACAGATTATGAAGGAGTGATGCTAGAGCTGTGAAATGTCTGGCAGGCAGTTCACGCTGTTCTTCAATGTTAAATAGAACTCACAGTTCTTACCCGAGAATAAATTCCCCTTGTATTTAAGAAGGAAGGAAGAAAGCACCAGAAGAAGAGGATAACGAATAATAATAATAATAATAATAATAATAATAATAAGAAGAAGAAGAAGAAGAAGAAAAGAAAAAGAAGAATTTTTTCTTTTAACTTTGGTTTTCGTCTTACAGGCAACCATAAAGGAATTTTGATTTTGTTCAAAAGCGAGTTCTAAGATGCTACCAATTAATATTGCAAATATCCTGTTTTGAGGCTTGCATTATCAATTGTTAATTTTTGGCAATATTTCGAGTAATAATCTGCCGGAGTTCTAGTGCCGCAAATGCTGTTTGAACTTACGGACACACGAGAATTGGTTTTAATTATTTGGACTTTCAGCCAAAGAATATGACTGCATAATTTTGTTAATTTCACTCTTTGGAATACAGTACTCGTGTTTCCGCCTGGGAAAACTATTAAAATTTGTCGATGTTTAGATTTGCTCTTACGATTAAATTAGCATCGCGAATTACAATCCTACGGCTGTCCGATATAAATACCATAGCAGGAATAATTTCTAAACAGAAAAGTAAATAAGAAATGAGTTTAACAAACAAAAATCAAAATGAAATCGAAAGTAATTAATATGCATATAAGCAAAATATACACCAATGAAATTGCGTCGGGTTATCGGCGAAGCGAGTTCAAATTCTGTTCCGTTCACTTTCACTTTCACTTTCATTTTCACTTGGCGAAGTAAGACACCATTTCTTTTCATTTATTTCCAGTTATGGAATAAACAATAAACTGGGTTTCATAGCCTTTGATGGTAGCCTGTTTAGTCGAATGAAATTCAAAGCCGCGGAAAAAGCAACGGAAACCGACTTCGCTATCATTCCCCCAAAATTGTGGCAATTCATAGATATTAAATGAATTTGTGGAGAACCATTATCACCGACGTCTTAAAAGTATTCCTTGCTAGGTACCGTGTATGATGTACGCTTCGCGATCACCGAATTCCCGCAATAAGATGTCACGTGTTTCTCTAGTAGACTGGCTTGCAATCAAGACTATAAAACCCATTATTTACATTATTCGGACTGTTATCCTCATCTTCATTGCCATATTGACAACGTTTCGGCCGTTGTACGCTCCGGCCTTCTTCAGATGATTCGAACTGTACCGTTTATTTCATTCACCGGTCCAATGGATAAAATGTTGGCTAGATACAGTGACTAGACCCAGAGAATTGTGAGTTCAATACCAGGTCACAGCAATGGTGAACCGAAACTTGGGGACTTGATTTAAAGGGAAATAACTGAGACATCCGGAAGAGGCATGACAATGGAACTAGAACAATCTACCACGGTCGAAGAAATAAAAGATTTCGAAATTCCGATCACCTGAAGAAGGCCGGAGCGTACAACAGCTGAAACATTATGAATATGGCAATAAAGATGAGGATAACAGTCCGAATAATGTAAATAATGAAATTAATCATGATACCTCGTCTCAGAGATATAGACAGATACTATAAAATCCAGTCTACCCTGATATTTAACCCATAGCTGGAGGTAGAATAGATAGATTCATAATGTTCCTAACAGCATGTGTGCCCAAGTAAATGTAACGTGCTCGATTCGTAAACGTCTCACTCTGGTTTATCGTTCTGAGCTGCTCTCCGTCACATCAGCGGCACACCTAAGCTTACAGCATCTGGTTTTCTCATGGGGTCATCTAGGTACTAACCAGGTTCAATGCTGTTTAACTTCGGTGGTCGGACGATAACCTTAATGTAACTTCTATGTCCATTCAGGACGATAGGGATCATGGCTCTCCACAATCTTCTCTCCTTTGTATGTCTTAATAAATGTTGTCTCTTTGTTTTTTCTCCTATATCCTGTTTCTACCATGCTCTTACTCCAGACCGCTAGGTAGGGTATAAGTTGCACCGTGTTCTTTTAAGAAATTAGAGATCATAGCTCTCGACAACTTCCTATCCATTATAGCTTGTAGTAAGATTTGTCTTTTCAACATTCCCCGAGTCACTGTTTTTGACAGCCATTTACGTTACAAGGCTAGGCAGGTTCCTCAATCTGTCCTGTGAGTATCAGTTTCTCTAAGCCGTCTTTCCTAACTATGTGCCCCAGAAATTTCAACTGTCATTTCCTGATCTTAAATATAATGGTCCTTTTTTACTTCCATTTTTTCCTAAAACTTTGTTATTGCTCGCATGTTCTATCGACGATGTCCCCAGAATGCTCCTGTAGAACAACATGGTCGTTGCTTTAAGTCTATTAATCATCTGTGAGGAGGTTGTTTAACAATTACTGCCATAGAGGCGGACTGATTATTGTGTAATATTTCAGTCCTCTCTCTTTTGTTTTTAACGCACTTTTTTGTTTCCTAATACTTTGCTTAGCTTTTGGAAGTTTATTTGCATGTGGGGCTATTTTATTTTTTTAATTTTTGCTAACTTGCAATGCATTCTATCTTCTTACAATTGATGTTAAGTTTTTTCTTCTAACTTTTCTTCTGCAGGAATTCTTGTAGTTTCCTTTCTGTGTCTGCTATGAACACAGTGTCAACTGCATCTCTTATGCGGTTAAGGTTGTGACCACCAATAATGAATCCTGGTCATAAGATGGGAAAATAAAGAAGGAAATTGAAAATTATCACTAGTCAAAGTAGACATGAAGGATGAATAAATAAATGAAAGAAAGGCTAATAGAATCTGTCAGATAGATAGATATGAATGGAGATAGATAGATATGAACAGAGATAGATAGATAGATAGATAGATAGATAGATAGATAGAAATGAACGGAGCTAAATAGATATGAACGGACCTAGATAGATATGAACGGAATGATATAGATATGACCGGATTGAGATAGATAGATAGATAGATAGATAGATAGATAGATAGATACGGAATGAGATAGATATGAACGGATGGAGATAGATAGATAGATAGATAGATAGATAGATAGATAGATAGATATGAACGGAATGATATAGATATGAGCGGATTGAGATAGATAGATAGATAGATAGATAGATAGATAGATAGATATGAACGGAGATAGATAGATAGATAGATAGATAGATAGATAGATACGGAATGATATAGATATGAGCAGATTGAGATAGATAGATAGATAGATATGAACGGAGATAGATAGATAGATAGATAGATAGATAGATAGATATGAACAAACTGAGATAGAATTTCTATCCTCTGTTAGAACACGTTCCGTATATTTAAGTTGCACATAAACTTGCTAGAACTGAAATATAAATCAAAGATCCTAAATGGAATAGTTTGTATTTACAAAGGAAAGGATTTTTCTTTTTACTTCAGTTTTTACTTCTCCCCACGCATAAATAATAATATTGTGAGGTTTCCGTTTGCATACAACCGAAAAAAAAAAAAAAAAGTAATAAGAATTTTCAAGGGAGATAAATATCAAATTTTAATTATAAAACACTATCATTTATTAATTTACTTGCAAATACAAACAAAATTAATTTTGATCATATCAGATTGCCAGAAGTTTTCTTTCGAAGCTTGACCCAGCGGGTCTCAAGGCTGTCTACTATAATTAAACATTGAATATCAATGTAAATGACCATTTGTCTTATCTGAATTTAATATATATGCAACCAAGCAGTTAATTATTAACAAAATTGCTTGATACATATATGCTGCAAAAATGAATGCTTTAAAAATACAAAAAAGCTGACTCATCGATATTATTAGTATGATAGACTAATGATTATGAGACTGGAATTAACTGTCCTTTCTGTCTTTAATCTGTCCTGTGAGTATCAAATTTTTCAAGCCTTCTTTTCTCATTATGTGCTCTAGCAATTCCAACTGTCTCTTCTTGATGTTAAGTGTCATGGGTCCTTACCTATAACTACAGAATGAACTCTTCCTAACACTATGTATACTACGCCTCTCAAGAGAGAGGGACGAATTGAGTCGAGCCGTTTCGGCTTGACGGTCAAACTCTCTGCCTCTGAGCAGAGAGAAACCCGGACTAGGCTCCGCCGAAGGGTAGAGCCTCGTTCGGGGAGGCTGACCAACCCGATACCGTTTATACGGGTTCTACGGGCATTTTTTGGCCGAGCCTACGGGCTCGGAAAACCCACGTAAAACTCGGCCTTGTGTCACATCTTTCCCTCGGGGCAAGTAAATAACGAATCGAGCCGAGCTTCCCGGCTTGACAGTCGAACTTTCTGCCTCTGAGCAGAGAAGAACCCGGACGAGGCTCCACCGAAGGGCAGAGTCTCGTTCGGGGAGGCTGACCAACCCGATCCCGTTTATACGGGTTCTACGGGCATTTTTTGGCCGAGGCTTCGGGCTCGGGAAACCCACGTTAAACTCGGCCTTGTGCTAGATGCAACTCTCGTGGGGGTGGTGGCTGGATACTGAATCGAGTCGAGCCGATAGTAGTTCACTCCAAACCAGACTGACAGTCATACTAACACCTTCCACATCTTGTATTATTATTTCGTGTAATATACCTTCGTTATTTCTACTCTTGTGTTCGTGTTGTTCTTCCTTGGTCCTAACCTGGACCATAACATTAAGTTTTCTTTTTGTTTCCATTTTCTGTAAGACTTCATCGTTTCTTACATGTAAAGTCTATGGTATTCTAAGCATCCTTCTGTAGAGCTATATTTATATTACTCCAAGTCTGTTAATCATCCGCGAGGAGATTGTTCAGCATTCACTGACATATAGAAAGACTGGCAATTCAGTACTCTTTTCTTTGTTTCTGACGACATTTATTTGTTTCTTAATACTTTTCTTAGCTTTCGGAAGGCATCTTTCGCAATTTCGGATTTTATTGTTGCCCTTTTCATCTTCTGTTTAAACACTTTGCAGATATGATGGGCTAATGACTATGAATCAATGCTATCCGTTTACCTCCCTTGGATCTCTGTTGATGAATTATCACAGATTGAAAAAAAATAGAGAAATCTTGAAATCAAATTTTCCCATTGTCTACATCGTAGTTTTTACGAGTTTAAAGCGTTTTAAAAAAAAAAAGAAAGTTCAATAAAACTCTTCTCGTTGTTTCGTGTGTGGCACTCACGAATAACCATCCTTCGAGCTTCGGCTTTTTAGCAGACACAAACGTCCAAAACCTGAGTTCATAATAAGCTCGAAAGACACGAAATGTGATTAGGCGTGCCAGGGAAAAGGACATTGCGATCCATCAATGTCACTTGGAAATGTCCCCGAAATTCGTTAAGAATCAGTACTTTTCGATTCAGATGAGCGGACCAATTCTCTACTGGTTTTTCTAATTCTTAGGTTTGGGGTGTACCGGAGGAAGAGCGAATGTACCTTGAAGCAGCGTGGCGGTTGGCTGTCTCTTCTGGGACGAGATAATCGTGACAGCCTGCATCCTTTCTTGTCTCTGTCGTTCTGGCGATTTTCTCAATTAGCTTCCCTGAACGATGACGTACAAATTGTCGTGATTTGCTTGCATTTCTTTGTTTTCTCTTTCTTTTCACTATCATTCTTTCTGTCTTATATCCTTTTTTATATCTATCTATCTATCTATCTATCTATCTATCTATCTATCTCATACTTATCTATCTATCTATCTATCTTTTTAAACATTTTTCAGCTTTCAGTTTTGATTCTGTCTCTTCCTTATTTCTTTCTTTTCATTACATTTTTTATTTTCTTTTTCCTCGTTAGTATTCATCTTTAATAGTCTTTCTCTGTCTTTCTTTTCATTACCTTTTTTCTCTTTCTATCTTTCTTTCTTTCTTTCTTTTACCACTCTTTCTTTATTTTCATTATATTTTTATTTAACTTCCAAATTTTGCTTTCTTTCAGTTCTTTAATTCTGTCTTTAATTTTTCTTTCTTGTCGCTATCAGTCTTTCTTTTTTTTATTTTAACTTTCATCCTTTTTTTAGTGTCTATTTTATTTCTTCTAATTCTTTCTTTCTTTCTTTCTTTATTTTTTCTTTCTTTCTTTCTTTCTTTCTTTCTTTCCGTAAGTGTCTATCTACATCTCACATTATCCTCTTCTAATTCTTTCTTTCTTTCTTTCTTTCTTTCTTTCTTTCTTTCTTTCCGTAAGTGTCTATCTTTCATTATTCTTCTTTCTTTTTTTCTTTCTTTCTTTCTTTCTTTCTTTCTTTCCGTAAGTGTCTATCATCTCACATCTTCTAATTCTTTCTTTCTTTCTTTCTTTCTTTCTTTCTTTCTTTCTTTCTTTCTTTCTTTTTCCGTAAGTTTCTACATTCACATTATCCTCTTCTTTCTTTTTCTTTTTCTTTTCTTTCTTTTCTTTTTCGTTTTTCATTTCCGTCTTTCTTTTTCATTCTTTCATCTCTTTTCATTTTCTTTCTTTTTCTTTCTTTCCGTAAGTGTCTATCTACATCTCACATTATTTTCTAATTCTTTCTTTCTTTCTTTCTTTCTTTCTTTCTTTCTTTCTTTCTTTCTTTCCGTAAGTGTCTATCTACATCTCACATTATCCCCTTCTAATTCTTTCTTTCTTTCTTTCTTTCTTTCTTTCTTTCTTTCTTTCTTTAAGTCTTTCTTTCTTTCTTTTTTCCGTAAGTGTTCCATTCACATTATCCTCTTCTAATTCTTTCTTTCTTTCTTTCTTTCTTTCTTTCTTTCTTTCTTTCTTTCCGTAAGTGTCTATCTACATCTCACATTATCCTCTTCTAATTCTTTCTTTCTTTCTTTCTTTCTTTCTTTCTTTCTTTCTTTTTCTTTCTTTCTTTCCGTAAGTGTCTATCTACATCTCATTATTATTCTTTTCTTTCTTTCTTTTTTCTTTTTTTTTCTTTTTTTTTCCTATCTACATCTCACATTATTCTTTTCTTTCTTTTTTTTTCTTTTTTTTTCTTTCTTTCTTTCTTTCTCTTCATTATTATTCGTTTGGTTTTCATTAACGTTCTTTTCTATTTATTTTCATTATCCTTTTTTGTTATTTTCTTTTCATCGTGCATTTCTTTTTAATTCTTTTTTTTATTTCACTGATTTTTCTTTCTATTATCATTCTTTTTCCTTTCTTTTCATTACCATTATTTCTTTTCATGATCGTTCTTCTTTCTCTTTCTTTTTCTTTCTTTCTTTCTTTTCATTAACATTGTTTCTTCTTTTTCTTATCGTTCTTTTTTCTCTTTCTTTCTCCTTTCTTTCTTTTTCTTTCTTTCTCTCTTTCTTTTCATTACCTTTATTTCTTCTTTTTATTATCGTTCTTTTTTCTCTTTCTTTTTCTTTCTTTATCCTTTCTTTCTTTCTTTCTTTCTTTCTTTCTTTCTTTCTTTTCATTGCAATTATTTCTTCTTTTCATTATCCTTCCTTTTTCTCTTTCTTTTTCTTTCTTTCTCTCTTTCTTTTCATTACCATTATATCTTCGTTTTATTATTGTTCCTTTTTTCTATTTCTTTTTTCTTTCTTTCTCTTTCTTTCTTTCTTTCTTTCTTTCTTTCTTTCTTTCTTCTCATTACCAATATTTCTTCTTTTCATTATCGCTCTTTTTCTCTTTCTTTTCTTTTTTTCTCCTTTTTTCTATTTTTCTTACTTTCTTTTTCTTTCTTACTTTCTTCTTTCATTTCATTACTATTATTCTTCTTTTCATTATCGTTCTTATTTTTTGTCTTTTTGTTTTTTCTTTCTTTTTCTTTCATTCTTTTTCTCTTTCTTTTCATTAACTTTCTTACTTTCTTCCACCATTTGCTTCTATCTTTTTTCTTAACATTTCTTTTTCTGTTTTTTTTTTGCCTAACAAGATTTTATATTAGCAGACATACCACAAAAACGATTGCATACAGAAATTCATTGTCTTTTTTACTAACTACTCAAGTTATAAAATATTGGCTTTTATTCTCGAAATATGACGAGTATAAAGTTCGAATTGTTGGTCGAAATTCTCTTCCCCAAAGTTATTTTGTTCACAATCTTTTCTTCGTAATTTTTTTTTTATCCCAATTCATTAATCACTCTTTCCTTTTAACATAAACTATGCGCCTCTCCATTCGTTCGTTCTGGTCAATAGTCAGATTTCAGACGCTGGTTTTTCTCTCTTTCTATTGTGGCCCGTCACACAATATCAAATTATCGTTACGTTCGACTCGGCCGGGTTGTTCAGTAATTACCTCCCCTTAGTGAACGATAACCTTCGCCTCCAACTCCAGATAATCGATATTTTCTAATATTAGGAAATTATGAAAGCCGCGTTTAGTGTGGCACAAGCCCAAATAGGGAAAATAGGGAAAAGTAGGGCAGGAAGATTGTATTCCGCCAAGTGCACATCTAGAAAATTAACATTAAAAATCTTTGCTTTTATATGAGCTTGAAACATTACGCACAGCAATTGCTCGTGTATAACACGCACTCCTAGATTTTAAGCCTAAACGTTACAGGCGTTTGCTATACAGTAGCCTAAGAAAAGTTTTTCGCCATTTTCAAAATTTCATTACCTAATCCCAATTCAACATAAATAAACAGTATTTGGAATTAGTATGGAGTATGTCCTTCATTTCCTAGTTTCAGTGATTGTATTCGACTTTTCATGGATTTGATCAAGTTAACAACTATCGTCTGATTCATAATTTGCCACGCCTTTAGCAATGTTTCTTTAAGGGCTGCCATGGACGTGATTTTAGTTGCACGCACTCGGGGTTTTCAGACAAGGTGCTCCCAAATGTGCTTTATTCGATTCATGTAAGGATTTTGGGCTACCCATGGCAGTAACTTGATTCCTTGTGATTCCTTCCATGCCTTTACTACTCTGCTCGTATGACAGGATGCTCCATCTTCATGAAAAAGGTAGACATTCTAGTCAATCTGTTTGGTTTCAAATAGTGGGAGTAATCCTTTCTCTGATATTTGACAGTATTTTCGACCATTAAACTACTCATCAACAAGAATCAGCTTAGATTTCCCTCCAAACCAGACAACGCCCCACACCATTACTTCCATCCCTCCATGTTTCACGGTCGCCGGCTGAGATTTCTTCCAAGTCTCATTCTGATTTCTCCAAACATAAACCTGTCTCGAATTCGAATATTGGCAGAATTTACTTTCATCTGACCAAATTACGGACAGCCAAAATTCATAATCTTTGCTCTCAAATTCTCTCCCCCAGTCCATACGAAGGTTCCTGTTAACCCCAGAAATCAAGGGCTTCTTTCTTGCAACTCTTCTTTGATAGCCTAGCTCTTTCAGAGTCTTTCCCACCGCGTATGGCGACATTCCCATGCTTTTGGCGAGACCTTTGACGCTCTGACGACGGTTTCATATGACTTTCAGTGCCCTTTTCATTCGCTCAGACACGATGCTTGGTCTTCCTGAACGTTGTTCCAGACCAGAATGGCTTTCTTCATTAAATTTCTTGACAATATTATTAACCTTTTGACAATTAACCTAGAAAAACCTAGCAATTTTTCTATTTGACTTGCGACACTGATGCCGTCCTATTATTTGCCCTTGTTGAAATTCACCAATTTCCTTACTTCCGCGAACTTTCATTGCAAAATATAAGTCAACTATCGTTCATACATGAGAGTAGCTTGATGCTAACACGGTATTGTTTGAAAAAAAAAAAGAAGAGACGTTATTACATAAACCAAAATTTTGGGATCTTTCTCCGACCAAAGTTTCTCTGTTCAATGGCCAACTCATGACCATCTATTTCTTTATTAAATGTATTGAAAACTTTTAGTATTCCCTCTTGCCTTATCGTTGTAAACATGGTTTTTCAACAACATGTATGACCAAAAACAAATTTTGTACCAGTCTGTAAATTGAAAATGATATATGTGCGTATTTCTCTGACACGCTTCCCAGAACTGATTTAGCTGTTGAAAGCTTATCAATCATATTACACGTGTAACAATGTACTGAATAAAATTATAAACAAATGCTACTTGCCTATTATTTATTTTATTGTTAGCAAGCATTTTATACCCTACTCATCTCCAAGGGTACGCCAACACGATCAGGCTGAGTGAAAAGGTTACACAGGAGGAAAAGGTTCCAGAACCTCTAGTTCAGTTGGTTAGGAGAATAATAATTAACGTTACGTTGAACAAAATGCCAACGTGTAGCTTTCTAGTCTACAAGTATATTCTTTTATGGACTTAATGAATGTAAAAATTGTCCAAAGATTTTCGGCTCAGCTTCCAGCCATTTTTAAAGATAATTTTTTCTTATACTACTATAATAACTGGTGTTTAAGTGCTGTTGAAGACAGTGTAAAAGTTGTTGAAAGTATGCATATTTTTAATTTCCGAATATGGCCATTACATTGTGGCTATGTTCATAATTAATCTTTTTATATTTTATTTTTTTTTTATTAATAATAAAATAAGATAGACGGGGAGTTTTCTGTTTATTGGGAGATAGACAAAAACAGAAATCAAATAAGTGCCAAAGTTTCGTGTTTAATATCGTCCAACCAGTTCCAATAGTATGGGTAGCAAAACCATCTCTGAGTCGACCAAAGAGTCGGACACCTGAAATATAAATCGACAAATCGATTATTATTATTATTATTAAAGTACTACTATTTTCTGTGTGTGTCTGAAGCTCAATAGTCGGTATTTACAAGCGTTCCATTCTCAAAGCCACATCAGCATGACGTGTGCTTAGTCATGTGATTTCGCGACGTGGACTGGATCACATAAATGTAGTGTGCCGTGACTTTGTTTATCCCGTATGCTCCTGGAGTCAGTTTCAATTGACGCTATCTCCTTTTTTTTTCCATATATTTTCATCACTCTTTTTTTGCAACAGGTATAACGTTATAAACCTATTGCTATTTCCATGGAAGATGTTCAGATGAGCTTCAGTCTTTAGTTCCACCAGTTGCGATATTTACAATAAAGGAGCGTCATTATTTCACACTTATTTCCTCAGTGTCCAAAATTCAAGAAGTGCTACTCAGACAGCTTGTTTTTCTCTTCCAAACTGCCACATTGTGGAACAGACTTCCACGAAGGTACTTCCCTGAAAATATTGATCTTTACCTATTTAACTCAAGGGTCACTGGTCATTTATCGTTCTTACCCACATAATCGTCACCTTCTCTATTCATATCACACATCTCGTTATCTATTAGTATTTTGATTAAAACTCTATGTCTCTCATTCGTTATACTGAGATAATTTAAAAAAAAAATAAAATCATTTCACCCCCCCCAAGCAAGGCGGAAATGTCACTAGCACTCAGCGGGTTACAGGGAGTGAAAGTGAGAGAAAAGACTGAATATAGGGAGGATTGAGAAAAAAAGGACGAAAGATGAACCCGGTTTCAAGAAGATAGAAGATGGCGATTGACGTGGAACTCTCTTCCGGCTTCTTGCTTTCCAAACAACTTTGATCTTCAAAAAATGTAAATGCAATGTTAATTCCTATATACTGTCTTGGTTAGTCTTCTAATGTTCTCGCTTACTAATGTTTCTATTTATTTTTTCTTATTTTTCCACACCCATGCATTATATAGAGATATATTTGTTTTTAGATTATATAAATTTTTTAATCATTTCGCACCAGAGAGGATTGAGGAAAAGGAGAAAAGATGAACGGGTTTCAAGAAGATAGAAGATGGCGATTGACGTACATTTAAAATTGTTTGAAGATTGTAATGATCAGGAAAGTAAGTAAACGGAAGTGTTTTCTACAGGCGGGATGTGCAAGAAAAGAAACTTAGGAGTAGAAATGGCGATTATATTTATATATTTCAACAGTAAACGGGTGAGGCCTATATGCCAATCACGTCTAAATTTATGGAATCGGGGTACCAGTGAAAAAAAGCTCGTTTATGAAAATATTTGTAGAAAAGATAGAGGGAAGACATGTTATGTCGGTGAGAAATTGACTGAAGTAGAGATACCAAGTCAGGATCAATTATAAACAGATTCATTTTTGGATTTTGTCAAGACCCTCGAGATGAATTACAGGAGCATAAGACCAGATATAGCAACAGCATTCATTGCACGGATGAATAATAGATTTGTATATGTGCAAGATGGACTTTGATGAGAAAAATCTTTTGGCACGACACAGTGAACCAACTTTCCTTGCATTAGATGCAGCTATTGATTCGATGTAGTTGCTGAAGATAAAGTCAGTTGAAAACGTGATTCCAAGAATTTCTTTAATACTTATTAATTCCCAATTCTGATTAAGCGATATATTTTGTTTAGCCATTACTGTGAATAGTGAGATAGATTCTCACGCGGTACTCTATTTTTATGGCCTTGATCGAAAAAAAGATAAGCTTAGCAAGTAAGACGTTTCTTTCCTCGCATTTCTCGCCTGTGGAATTCCCTTCTTATTTCTTGCTTCCCCGCCAACTACAATCTTCGAAAATTTAAACGCAACATTGATCGTTATCTTCTGACTTCATAAATTTGTTCTTCTATTGTTCTTTTCCATGAAATGTTGGGATGGCAAGTCAGGGTCGATTATATTACATATCCTTCTTTGGATTTTGTTAAGAAACTCTAGAGGCACAACAGGAGCACCAGACCAGATATGGCAGCAATATTCATTGCACAGAGGAATGGTAGATTTGTAAATATGAAAGATAGACTTTTGGCACGACACAGAGACCCAACTTTCCTTGCAGTAGATGCAACTATTGATTCAATGTAGTTATTCCAATTGATTTCTTCATTTTATTGAATATGGGCGATGTATCGATTGATCGTGCAGATCATAACCCTTTTTAATCGAGCTGTTTCCAATGTTTGCTTTTATCGAAACCTTTTTCCTTCTTTCAAATCGTTCTTTAGAAATCCTCCATTTGTTTTAATTTTCATCCGAATTTTCTTAGCTCTCTTGCTATTTTTCGAAAGACGCTTATGTTGCTGGAGAGGAAGTAAGGCAGCCATTCAGTGCCGTCTTCTGTATTTGAACGTGCTAAATTTCTCGTCATTCTCTCTGAAATATCACCCCCACCTCAGCTTATTTACTTTATAGATTCAATCCGACCTTCACTCTTCTCTTTACCTTTCTATATCGAACAAAATACCCCCCCACGTTTTCCCAATGGAGATTTCACCCTTTAACTCTTTCTGTGAAAGCATTTGCCTCTCCTTGTTTGCGCCAATTTCTTTTTATTCGTTCTTCTTTTATTCTCTCTCTCTCTCTCTCTTGCATATTGTACAAAACTCATTACTGATATCTCAGGACTGTCTCCTTCCTTATTTCAATGCGTAGTTCAACGTCTACAGTTCAAACTTATTATAGGTAACTCGCCTAATGAATGATGGCAGTGAGCCACATTACTTGGCTGATCAGTCGTCCCCAACCTCATCACTTTATGGTAATGCTCTTTTCCTTGTCTCCGTCCCCTGGGAGGTGGACTCACCGCCTTTCTCGATTTAGCTTATTGCCGGATTACATCTATTCATGTCATGTGTTTAATGGTACACGGCGGTGATTGGTGAAGGGTTGATCAGCAGGGCTTGATATGAGCAGGGTTAGAGCAAGGATATGAAGCCAAAAGGCAATGCAGTGATAACCGAGACTTTGTGAATTTAAATGCAGTACTAGATTGGCAGCAAGGTCTCATTAGTTTTCATTTGAATTGGTTAGATGTAACTGCAACAGTTTTTTTTCTCTCGTAATTCTCTTTTGTGAGACTCTCTTCCAGCTTCTTGCTTTCCCACCAAATTTGATCTCCAAAAATATAAATGCAGTGTTAATCACTATATACTGTCTTGGTTAGTTTTCTAATGTTCTCGATCGTTAATATTTCTATTTATTTTTTCTTAGGCGTTATATAGAGATTTAAAAAAAATTTTTTTTTAATCATTTCACCCCAGGCAAGGCAAAAATGTCACTCGTAGTCAGCGGGTTACAGGGAGTGAAAGTGAGAGGAAAGACTAGGTATAGCGAGGACTGGGGAGAGGGTAAAAAGATGAACGGGATTTAAGAAAATAAAAAATAGCGATGATGTACATTTAATTTTTTGAAGATTGTAATAAACGGAAAGGAGTTCCACAGGCGGGACGTGCGAGAAAGGTGTGTCGTAGTGGCTTCATTGCCTTGACAGTATTATTTCCCTTAAAAAGAGAACAAGTATCGTTGCTCTTTTATTTAGGAAAACGATAGAGTTTTCTATGATTTATTTTTAAGTTCCAGTGTACGTAAAGATAAAGTGAAACATGTTGTGATACGCGGGTAGCGACGTTTAATCGGCGTCTCAGGTTCAAATTCCAGCCTCGCCGTTTTATTTCATTTTTGCACCAATTCGCTTGGAAAATGCACAGGACTAACTGTATGAATTGACTAGCACGATAGACTGGCATCTCTATCCTTTGATGGTAACTAAGAAAAGTAAAATTCTGAATTCTACTCTGTGGAGAAATCAAATGAGAAACAGCTCCACTATCATTCCCAAGAAGGAATGGCAAGTGACAGATAATAAAGTAAAATAAAATTTGTGGCTTGCAAGTAACGCACGCAGAGTTAAAAAGTGCCTTTCATTTAAAAAATTCCAAGATTGTGATTGTGATGAAATCTGGACTGAAATTGAAAAAGTTATTGAAAAGGTTGTCAGTTTTATGGAAAGAAAGCCAGCATTCAGCAATGAGAGTTGTAACAACGCACGCAGAGTTAAAAAGTGCATTTCATTTTAAAAAAACGAAACGCGGAAAAAGTTGAGGATGGCACCAGAAGAGAAAAAATCGTCATGCAACAGCGATTAAAAAAACCTCGTTGCATTATTTGTTTTTCATACGTGGCATACTTAATTTAATGAATTTTTATTAACATTACATAAATTTTTTATTTTTCCTTAAAATCGATTCCTTTATATTTCACTCACCTTAGCTTATTTTGTTTACTATAAAATATTGAAAATAAATGTTAAACCTAATTTCAGTTCTTTTATTTTAATCTAAATATAACTCCTCATATTCAGTTTTTGTAACCAATTCCTCATATCCGGAAGGCCTTCTTAATCCGGTTGTCAGGCATTTTAATGTATTTAAATTTTGTTTAATTGTGGAATATCTAATTCGTACTTCGCATCTTGATCTGTTCCTCTTGCTGACATCTATACATTACGTCTTCTTACAATTGACGTTTCATTATTTTTGTTTTGCTTTCCTTCACTAGCTTCTGTAGGAGTTATTGTAGTTTCTTTCTGTGTCTACAATCTGAAGTGTCAGCTATCAACACTGTGTCATCTTCATATCTTATGTTGCTAAGCCTGTGTCTGTTATTAATAAAT